AATTATTATTAATATTAACAGAGATTACATTATTTATTTTCAGAAAAGTTACTTACATCCATGTTCAAAAAATTATATATCCCACAACACCATCAGATTCTTTAGCAACAATTCCTCTGGCTCGCGACGCACTTGTCGAAGTAAATAAAAACGATCAGCAAACGCACAGTAGAGAATCACAACTTAAAAAACCCCCCAACAAAGTAATAAAACATGGTAGAGGCTGAAGACGAGGGTTTGAAAACGAGAAAAAGTAGTCGTCGTAGGTTAAAACTGAGAGGTGAAATGAACACACTTTGAATGTGTCCACTTTGGCGGGACACGCCAATTTACTGGAGAACCAGTCCTTGACTGACCTGTGATCACTGACAGTGACAGGGAATGTGAGTAACAAAGACGTCAAGACAACGTTAGCACACATTGAGTTTTGGGGTAAGAAGTCAGTACCTCACACGCCACCCCCACCCCCCTCTTCCAACACCTCAAAGACAAAAAACAAGACGAGAAAAACCCCCCAAAAACAAACAAGCGAACAAAAAATAACACATCACCCCTGCCCCCGAAAAGAAAATCTGTTTTAAAAGGGTACATATATATTCCTAGGAATGAATTCTTCGGAGTGAATTCTGTTTATCGCTGGCTTTGGTTAGTTCTACTTTCGTTTAGGATTGTTATGTTTTATTTTGGTTCTTTTTGGAGCTTGGGGTAAAGGGACGACAGGGGGGGGGGGGGGACATTGGGAACTTGTCCTGCTTGACTCAAGTTGGTACAGGTACTTTTGTTTCATTTGATATTTTTTGGGGGGACCAAAGGTCATTTCTTCACGATAAGATACGGTACCATAACCGATTAGGTTTTACCGAGGTGTGGTTAATGCTGGTTGAAAACTGATCTCATCGCGTCGGCCTGTTGTTTGAAGTAGTTTTGGGAAGGTAACACCAATCTAAAGTTGTCAATTTACCGGATCATCGTCGTCAGAAAAAACAGCAACAAAATCTACCATCCGTTGAATGTCCTGTCAACAGCAGAAACGCATAGAGGTCTCATATGGCTCGATTTCTCGGATGTTGAGTTTAATCTGTCTTTCTTGAGAGACAATGATCAAAATAGTATGTTGCATGTGCATGGTTTGTTTGGGTTTTTTTGGGAAGGGGGGGGGGTAAAAAAACATACCAAAACTTCGTTAAAAAAAGTATTTAGGATAAAACAACAAAGGATAAAAATAAATCCGCCTTGTGGTCAGGATAAAACTTTTAATTTTCTTTTGTTTAAACGTTGATGCTGTTAACACTGATCCAAGCAGCAAAATGTTGTTTCCATATCTATAACATGTCCTACTGTTTGGAGTACATAGTACACAGTATTACTATTACTCAGATGAAAGTAAAAGTGTAAAGGCTCAAAATATTAGATTTCTTACGCAGTCAAAAAGTGGTACCTTTTTCCTTTTGATCACCAGTATATTACTTCTGGTGATTACCAATATATTATATCCTTTAACCGGCAGTATATTATATACTTTGACGGTTGGTATATCATGTCCTACAATAACCAGTAAAGTATTATGTCTGCAACATACCAATTCATAAACAAATACCATAGACCTCTACAAGATTTTGTCCTCTTTTTAGCTTGCTCATACGTTTATTTCTAGCATGTATAATGTATGTGCGAGCCTACGTGAGGCACATGTGTGTATGAATGTATAAGAATATGTGTGTGTATGTGTGTGTATGTGTGTGCGTGTATGTGCATATGCGTGTGTGTGTGTGAGTGTGTGCGTGTGTGTGTGTGTGTGTGTGTGTGTGTGTGTGTGTGTGTGTGTGC